TGTTGTGTCAAATTCCAGTGTAGAGCACAATTTTTCAGTTATACATGAACATATATATATTGTCACATTTTTTTCTCTATAAGCTACCATAAGATCTTGTGTATATTTCCATCTTTTTTGAACCTGTCCCTCTTTTCCTTCTCAATTCCCTGATGCTTCACTCTCTTCTCACCTCCTGAATTCCTTCCAGTCTCTTCAGCGGATGGAGGCATACTCCAGGGATCTAGCCTCAGTGCTCTTCTGCTGTAACATGTTACTAGGTAAACTTCATTAGAAAAACTAGTTATTTGTAACTGTTTAATCACTGAAATTGTTAAAATCATGCAGATAATATGACCCCTAAATTCTCACCTGAGCTTTCATAAAAACCTTCATCATTTGGCTTTAGTCTTACTTCCCTCCACCACTTCCCAACTACTAGCCATATTTAACTACTTGTCTTTACCAAACATGGCATGTTTTACTTCCGTATTTTTTTAGGTAACAAATAGTTCCTTCGCCTGGAATGCCTCACCTACTTGCTCCCTAATAAACTCCTACTGTTTTTAAACTACCATTTAATGACAACTTGGGATATGCCAGTACTATATTCCAAGTACTTTCTAAAGAGTAGCATGAAGTCTGACTCTAAAACCTGAATTCTCGTCTTTCTCTCTCCTTCTAATCCTTCAAGATGGGAAGCATTCTGGGGCAGTTGGAAACAACCCTGGTTTGAAGTCAGACAAACCTATAACTTTATTAGTGATGCAATCTCAGATTACACAATTTTCCACACTCTAGGCTTAGAGTAAATGTTATAATATGTAAAAAGCCTAGTGAATATCCTGGAACATAGTAAGATGTCAACAGACGGCAGATCTCTTTTCTTGGCCACTTCAAAACCTAGTTCCTGTAATGACCTTATCTGTAAAGACTCAGAGGACTCTCTCCAGGCAGAGCACGCAGAGGAGTACAATCCGTCTCTTCACTAGACAGCAACTATGAGATTGTTTTGTACCTCTAGTGACATATAGTTTTTAGTACACAGATACTCAATGTGTAATAACTGTTGAACACCTAGAGAAAATGAATGAACAGATAAACTGACATTTGCCTACTAGTTATCTCATCTCTTCCTTCAACATCTCACATTCAAGGGTCCCAGAACCACTCTCATCAACTTTTCCTGATAACTCTTCTTTCTCTCTTCTCTACCCCCAGTGAAATGGTTCCAAAGTTATCCCAGTTTCCTGGGGAAGAATGCTCTGTGTCCTGTTTTCTTCCTCTGTCTAATTTGCTTCCCACTGTGTGCCATCACCACCTCCCTCCTCTACCCACTTGCACCATCCCTGTTCAGGCTTTACTATCTTTTACAAGGACAGTATAGCAAACTTTACATTAGCTTTCCTTTTTCGTTCAATCCTCAGATCAGTTCTATACAATAGGACTAGACAGATTTTAAGCTCTGTGTTATGAGTTTTATCCTTCTTTGTGAAGCCCTTTAGGATATGACGCTGTCTCACTCATGTACACTCTTCTTCTACAGGTTGACAGAATGCCCGGAGACATTTCAAATGAAGTAACACTTATGAAAACTCTAAAGGAATAGAACAAAACAAATGTGCTGGCATTTGATAATAACTTCCATTTATTACCACTTATTAATGGTAGTTTTAAATACTTCATAAAATTTTCTCACTTACTCCTCAAAACCCCTTAAAAGATAGGTACTATTACCTCCATTTTATAGATTATAAAATTGAGACTTAGAATGTTAGAAACTTGTCCAAATCCAAGGTCTTATCAAGAAGAGGGAGCGAAGTGGAATCTGTCTGCCTCAAAGCCCTGCTGTTAATTTCCACACTACACTGCTTCTCTCTTTATAGTAGTTGCTCTCTTGACTTGAATTCACATTCTTTTCCTTCTACATTGGAGGAACAAATATCCTAAACCCCTTTCAAAAATAATTCCACTTGTCAATCAGTTTATTCCCACTCATTTCTTCTTGGGTCATGATCCTTTTAATGATCTTTCAAGTTGTCCCTAGAGGCTTCTAGCTACAGATTTTCTCCATCCTTTCACTTAACTCTATACCACCTATATTATTCTGTTTCTGTTTACTGTCAAAGGTGCCACTACCACCACTTTCACCCACATAATTCCTGAATTCTCTGAAATCTTGTTTTTCAGCCCTTAAATGTACTCTCGTAAAACCTCAAATGAAATGTCACCAAAACCTTTCCAACTCCTAAGGTCCCGTTTTTTCAGTTATTCCTTCAACTTAACAGCAGCAATTGACAAGTGCTAACAACTCTGGCTGCTATCTTAAACTCACCCACCTCGATTTCTGTGGTGACATACCTTTTTTCTATGTCTGAATCACAATTTCTCAGTCCTACTGATTACACTGTTATTTACCTATTTATGGAATATTAAATATGTCCCTAAGTCTAATTTTCCCATTTTTCTATCCTCTTTCCCTTAGAGATTCTATCTACTCTGAGAACTTCATTATCACTAGAATAATAACCCTTAGTCCTGATATCTCTCCAGTGCTACTAGGAAGAATTAAAATGGTTCATTCACTATCCCTCAAATATGTCTAGTGTTTTGTTTCCAGAACTTTTTACATAACTACCTCTTCTAATTAGCAATATTCTCCAGACATTTTCCTGCACATCCAAATCTGGACCATCCTCCAAAGATGATTTCAAATTATAGTTTTTTTGTAAAATTTTCCTTGATGGTCATAGTCTAAGCTGACCTTGCTCCTCTGAACTGCGTAAATAAATAGTGTTTAATTAATTTAGTTATTCCGTATCTGTTCAAGATTTGTTTTAGGACCTGTTGTTATTTTATTTCATACACAATCATATGACCTTATATTGTTATAGCCTGTCATCTCAATTAGACTTTCAGCTCATGGGAGGGTCAGGACCAATGTACTTCTTTGTTCACCAAAGTGCTTGCACATAGAGAAAAGGGAATTAATACTGTGTTCTTTTTTCCCTTCAATAACAGTAAATTCTGTTTGTTTCCTTGCAGTGGCTGGAATTGATTCAAGCAATTATCATGTGCTTTTGTGAGGGTGCTAGGGATACAAATATGAAAAGGACCTAAAGTCCTTAAGGAGATTACAACCAAATGAAGAAATAGATGCAATAAAGTATTATTATAAATATTGTGATAAGGGACAGAGTGCTACTCAATCAGAGATACAAAGCTTAATCAGACCTTTAGATGTATGAGATAGAAAAGGATTCACAGAGAGGATGACATAAACTTGAAGGATAATTTCCCAGGTAAGAGAAAGAAAGAGCAGTAAAATGTAAAAGATAGACTGGGCTTAGACTATAAAGAATTATACATGCCACCACTAAGGAGTCTGGACATTATAAGATCAGGGGTTGCTAAGTTATAACCCACAGGCCCAAACTGGACCAAAGCCTATTTTGTATGGCCCAGAAACTAATGGTTTTTTACATTTTTAAAGGGTTGGAAAAAAAAAAAGGAAAAGAAAAAGTTACAAAAAGATCATATGTCATATGTGACCAGCAAAGTCTAAAAACCTATTATCTGGCTCTTTACAGACAAAGTTTACCAACCCCTGCTATATAGATGGTTTTAAATCACTGAAGGGATTTAATGGGAAAGGATGTGATATATTCAAACTGTTTTAGGATAATCATTCTGGCAGCTCTGAGGACAACATTATGGAGAAATGAGGGAACAGAAGAGTACACTACAACAGTAAATGTGAGATGACAAGGGCATAGGACATCAAAGAGGGAAAAACTGACAGGGACTTTGTAACTGCCTGGTAGAGGGGAATGAGTAACGAGGAAGAAGAAAGCAGCAGCCCTGATATTCAGCTAAGTGATCAAAAATGGATGTTGATGTTATTAATGAAAACAGCAAATGAGGAGAAGTAGGCTTATGAGATGAACCTAATGAATATGAGGGGCCTACAAAAATACAGTTGGCAGCAGCAGAGTTTGGAGGCAGTACAATACTATGCATATAACTTAATGATACTGAATGAGTATCTGGTGAATGTCTCAAAAGGAAAAAATTACTGAAAAATTTTCTGATTTATTCCCCAACTTCTGCTGTGTAAGATTCTTATACTGATTCCAAATCATACCTTAGAAGGAGGTGGTACAGGCTTAGGAACCAGGTTCTTATAGACACTTGGAACCATGGCTGACGATTTGTTTCCATTTGCATGGTGAGATCCTGGTGAGGTGAATGCAGCAGAGAAAGCAGCAGCAGGATCTTCTTTGGAAACTTTTTTGATGACTAGCATTTTGGAGGGCTGCTTGGCACTCGGTGGGTTTTCTGTGAAATACAATGGTGGAAAGATAAAACAATGTCAAACCTATTGGTTAACATGAAGCACAGGTCATACAAAGGCCTTATTTTCATGAACAGCTGAAAGCTGAGACTAAGGGACAAACATTTCCTAGTCTGAGCATAACAAATACTTTTCAAAAGTGACACTACTCAGAAATAATAGGAAAACAGGCAGCATCTGAAGCACTTGGTTCTAAATTCATAATCAACCAAGAAGCCCGAAGATGTTAGCAGTCTTTCGGGGCATAATATGTCTAGTGTATGGTGTGATCACTCAGGCATAGACCAAACAAGAATATATCCAAGGGTGGCGAGAGATGAGGAAATTGGAGAAAGGAGTCTGCCATGGGACCTTCTGATAAGGCAAACTAGAGCAACGCTATACGCCATCAACAAAGAGGAAACGGTACAGCAATTGCCCTTAATCCTGTAACTGAGGTCCAAACCTAGTATTCAGATATGTTAAGGCCTTCCCAGTAAGATTCTTGGTTGCTGAACACGTCTAAGGTACGGACTAGGGCAGTCCAATCTGTAAATGCCGAAGATCCTAATGCCACAGGATTAGGCTCGGTATGAAATACATTGATTTGTCTTTTGATTTTTTGTAAGGCTAGTTATTTCCAACATATACATATGTGTGTATTTATATATGTTTCTCCTTGCCCTATACTACAAGAATAATTTATAATTGCCAGAAACAAAAGAAAACCCCCCAAACTCAGCAACTGGAAACTGGTTGAACAAAATGGTCTGTAGGATATAATATTATACAGCCTATCAAAGAACATTTTTAGAAGAGTATTTATTTAGTAACATGAAAGAATGCTTAAGAATATATTGGTATGTCTACCAAACATTTAGGAGATGAAATAGAAACACCTTAAAATTTAATTGTTACCAGCAAATTAGCAATGTTACTACTAATTACTAATTAAAATTACTTCTTATGAGCATATGATATTATTCTCCCTTTGCTTAATATCTGCTTCCAAATTCAGGGCTCTACAAACTCTCAATTGTCTGCACTCTGACTTCACTACCATTACGTATCAATGGTACTTTGCAGGGGAAGTAAGAGCTAATACCATGTGCAAATGGATGAGATGAGAAACAAGAAATAAACAAACAAAAAGAGATAAAGAATTTTTGCTCCTCTCCCTGCTAAGAAAAATTTAAAGTTGTGCCTTTAAAATGGCAAAATCTACCTACCCCACACTCCAGAAGGGGTTCCAATAGGTCTGCATGGCTGATTCTGTTTGCCAGCTTCTGGATTCAAAGAAGGCTAGGAAAAAAAGGCATATTAATGGTTGATACAGGAAGCTATTCATTTTGGCACTTTTGGCACTTTTTGCAAAGTAGCCTTCACCATGAAACCTATCAAAGAATTATATATCAGCAGCACTTACTTAACACTGTATTCAAAATTAACAAATAAACAGAAGATACTGAATTGCCAAATCAGTAGGTCTTATATTAATCTCAGACTCTCTTGGGTTTCATTTCCTTTAATATAAGAAGATTTAAAAAAAAATTTAAATAAACAGACTAAATATGCAAGTTCTCATCTTCCTATAGGATATGAACGCCAAGTAATAAGGAGGCATAGAAAACTGAATGAACAAGAAAGTGGATTACTTTTTTCAGATTTAAGGAGGACAAATCTGGTCAGTGAAATATACAGTATTCACAGCAGTTCTAGTAAGACTGTTTTAGGGCAGAGGCACACCATGTACCAGGGACTGTGCTAGGAATACAAAGGCAATTAAGATAATTAAAAAGAACCCTTAATTCCCACAAGGATCACAGTTTCACTACAAAGATAAACTTGTAGACAAATAAATACAATAAAAGGTTATAGGGGCTATGTTAAAAATTCTCATTAGGGAAGAAGTAGTACTAAGGGAAACGTCGATTCTACTAGAAAGAGAAGTGCTATCAGGAAAGGTTTCATTAGAGGTGATTATTAAGAAGAGTCCTTAAAGATGAATTTCAAAGCTGGAAAATGGGTGATTCCAGGAACAGAATGCTCAATGAACACCACGATAGGAAAAACATGAAGAGAATAGAATATTCAGAGATCTATGAACAGTTCAGCATTAGTACTAGAGAAGGAGAGGATCCTTCTTTGGGGAAAGAGATGTCTGGCAAAGTAGGTTTAGAGCCAGATTGTGGAGTATTTTTAAGGCAGATTGGATTTTATTCTTTAGGTATGAGGATCCATCTCTCATGTAGAGTTAACATGATCCTATCACTAGTTTACAAGTTTGGTAGGAGCTTGAAGGATATATTTCAGAGGTTTAAATATCAACTAAGAGACTATTAGGAGACCAATTCCATAGTCCAGGAGAGTAAGGAAGGCAATAGGAGTACAGGAAAAGATGACAGGAAGGATGGAGAAGTGTTAAGGGCAATAGGCTGGACTTAATAACTAACTGTATAGAGGGTGTGAGAATGATACTGGTGTCTAAACCCAAACTTTACAATCTAGTACAGAGGAGGAAAATGGCTTTTTAGCACAACTGACTGTGGGACATTAAACAAAAAGTAGATGCCGAGACTCCACTACAGAGCTTTTGAATCAAAATCTCCAGGAGTGGGGCCCCAGCAGGTATGTATTTTCAACCAGTCAAGGGGAGACCCACTAGCATAGACCAAGCACAGACACAAAGTGAACTATTAACTCATTATATAAATGAACAGATCAGTGACAGAATATGGACAAGTAAACACATTCTTCTGGATGGAACAGGACAGACAGTAGGTGTCTATATGGATAAAAGCTATGTCTCCTTGTTTTTGTAGCCCTATGTTCTTAGTCACATTATACCTAGTATTTTCAGAAACACTGCCCCCATTTAGTAGGCATCTTCAATCCCTTTCCACTGATTTTTTAAAAACAGTAAAATATAACACAGATACAGAAAGCTGCATAAAACAAATGGGCAAAAAGTTCTTGTAATCATCACTCAACTTAAGCAACAGAATATTACCAGCCAAAACAAAAACAGTTTATAAGCCTCACTGAAAAAAAAAATCCTTCCCCCCTCTCTAAAAATAACCAGTCTCCTAACTTCTGGTGACCATCACTTCTCTTTTACCACCCAAGCGTGTATCCCTCAAACTATAGGTTTTGTTTCCAAAAATCATCTCTTAATTTACAGGTTTCGCTAAAAACATTTTATACCTCTGCATTTCCTACAAAATCGGTCATTGGTTCTAGAGGCAATAGGATCCCCTTCCCCCCCTTTTATTTTGGCAAGGTAACTACTTGCTGGTTTTGTGTTCTTTCCTTAGGAGACACCTAACGTCTGGCTGTGCTCATTTTTGTGATGTTAGCGGACACTGAGGCTCACAGTCTTAAACTATCAATTAACTACAAGCTACAAAACAACGATCATATATTTTATCATTCTTTCTTTACAAGTTAGTATATTTCCGTAAAAAGGAACTTCCTCTCATCTATTTGATGACTCAGTGGTATAATTCATATGGAAAAGACCAAATACATGCCTGGACTTAGTTACTAAGTTATTAATTGTATACGGGGTGTGAGAATGCCACTAGTGTCCCAACCCAAACTTCTAAGGTGAGGTATCATTGTGAACTTAAAGATTTAATCATATTTGATGTGATTCAAACATTTGAAGTTATTACCCCTTAATTGATGACTGAAATACCCCAAGTTTGGCCAGTGAGGACCTCTTCAATTTAGTTTCTGAATCCTTTTCATACAACTCTAATGGTCTTTAATTACTTCTTTGCTATGTAGTTTGACAAAATATTCCAAGCTTATCTTTAAATATCCTTACCAGAAATAGCATCTCAAGATCCTAATTTGGGCACTAGGGACACTCATTGTTATGGCATTGGTCATTGCTTTTAGGCCTTTTCAGTGGACAGAGCCTGGAAATATATATATAAACACATTTTTAAAGATGAAAATGACCTCATGATTTCTTATTGGTATTTCCCATTCAAATTGAGTGCCTTGGGGTTTTTACCAAACATCTTCTATTTTATATCTGTATTTCCATCCCTCTACACTAAGAATCCTGGTTTTTTAAGGACACAAGGCGTAGAATATGATCAATTGCTTTATTCCGTATTACAATAGCCTCAGAATAACAGTATCAATATTATACCACAAATATGGTTAATAAAATGTTGTTCTTAGACAATGGTATTTGTCTGTGACCTTTATAAATGAAATTTGACAGAGCATAAAATCCTTGGTTCACATTTTGAGTATTGAAATTGTTATTGCACTGACTTGTGTTGTCAGAGTGTATCTAATTTTCTTTCTTTTATAAGTCATTTGTTCTTTATGTCAGGATGCCCAAGATACCTTTCTTTTTTGCTTTGAGTCTAGTATTTCATAAGACTAAGTATTGCATGTTCTGGCTGTCCTTTCAATTTGTGGCTTCAAATCTTATTGTATTTCATGAAATTATTCCTGAATTATACTTGAATTATACTCTGTAGAATCTTCTGTAATTCTTTATAGAAACCTCAATTTGAAGTTTGTGTCATTTTTCCCCATGGTTAGATTCAGGTTATGAATTTTGGGAAGGAATTTATGGGGGTGGTATTGGATTCTCAATGCTTCACATCAGAAGGCTTGTAGATATGTTTGTTCCATGATTGTTGATGTTAATCTATTTTTTAAATCAACTAAAGCTTACATAAATACAATGAAATGCACCAATACTAAGTATACCATTCCATGAGGTTTTAAAAATACTTACACCTCCCAACCTCTACAAAGATAAAAAGTACTTCCTACCATCAGCAAGTTTCCTAATGCCCTTTCCCAGTCAATCTCCACTTCACACAGGCAATCATTGTTTTTTCTTTCCCACCACAGATTTGCCTGTTGTAGAATGTCATACAACTGGAATCATACAGTATGTACCCTTTTGTGTAAAGTTTCACTGAAATTCATTACATTGTTCTATCAGTCATTCTTTTTTATTACTGAGTAAGTAGTCCATTACATGATTACATCACAATTTTTCTATTTCTGCTATGACAGGCATTTCAGTTGTTTCCAGTTTTGGCTTGTTAAGAATAAAATTACAATAAACAAACATATACTTTCATTTCTCTTTAGTAAATACCTAGAAGTGGAAGTGGTGGGTCACAGGGTAGGTTTATGTTTAGTTTTATAAGAGAATGCCAGACATTCTTTTTCCCAAAATGGTTGTGCTACACTCCCACTAACAATGTATCAAAGTTCCAAGTGCTCAAAAAATGTCACCAAAGTTTAGTGTTTTCAGACTTTTAAGTATCAGTCATTGTGGTGGGTGTCAGCAGTATTTCACAGCGGTCTTAATTTGCAGTTCCACATTTCCCTTATGACTAATGACACCAATTTTTAAAAGTGCCTACTGACCGTTCATACATCTGCCTTTGTGATAGCGTTCAAATCTTGTTCATTTTTTAAAAATTGAGTTTTAAGAGTTATTCATATTATGGGTACAGGTCCCTTTTCAAATCTATGTTTTGCAAATATTTTCTCTGTGAAATGAATAGAAGCTTTAAATTTTTATGAAGTCTGATTTATCAATGTTTTTTCTTTATGGTTACTGCTTCCTGCGTCCAAAGAAATTTTTTTAATCTCCTATGCTAGAAATATATTCTCCCAAGTCTTCTTCATTTTAGGCCATACATTTAGGCCTATAATCCATCTCAAATTTTCTCTCTCTTTTTGGTATGCTATGTGGCAGAGGCAGATATATGTGTGTGTGTTGTTTTGGCACCATTTGTTAAAAATACATTTCTTTTTTCCCTTGGCCTGCTTTGGTACCTTTGTTGAAAATCAAATACCATATAAATGTAGGTTTTATTTTTGGGCTCTCTATTCTGCCCCACTATCACTCTATTCTTACAATAATGTGACATTATTTTGACTACTGTACCTTTATACAAAGTCTTCGAGTTAGGTAGTATAAATCCTCCAACTTTGTTCTTTTTCAAGATTGCTTTAGATATATGTCTTTCTATTGCAATATAAATTTTAGAATAATTTTGTCATTTTATACAAGAAAGCATGTTGGTTGTGGTTGTGCACAATCTATAGAGTTGACGTCCTGACCATGGTGAGTCTTCCATTTCAAAGCCTTCCATTCAAAACGGTATCTCTCTTCTTTTACTTCGACAATTTCTGTTGGCCATATTTTGTGGTTCACTATTGATGTCTCTCACATCTTCTGTTAAATTTAGTTCTAGGTAGTTTTTAAAGTTTTTTTTTAAATACAAAAGATATTTTATAAAACTCCATTTCCCAACTGCTTGTTGCTAGTGCAGCTGACCATCGAACCACACAGGGGTTAGGGGCACCAACCCTCAGCACAGTGGAAAATCCAAGTATAACTTATAGTTGGCCTTCCATATACATATGAGCTGTGGTTTTGTATCTGTGGAGTCAATCAACTGGGGATCATACCACAGTATTCACTACTGAAAAAAATCTGCACATAAATGAACACCAGTAGTTCAAACCTATGTTGTTCAAGGGTCAACTGTATATAAAAAATATAATTTTTTAATATTGACTTTATATTCTGAAATTTTGTTAATTCTGTATAGAGTCCTTAGGATTTACTATGTAAATAATCATGTCACCTGTGAATAGACACTTTCATTTCTTCCTTTTAATTTGTATGCATTTTATTTCTTTTTCTTGCCTTACTGCACTTGGCAGGATCTCCAGCACAATACTAAATAAAAGCAGTGAGAGTAAAATCCTAATACTACTCCCGAGCTCTGCTTTTATTCGAGAACTGGGAAGACTCAAAGATATGGCTACACTGTTGCTATCCTCTCAGAATCCCTTCTCTCCACAGATTTCCTACTCCTCAGGTTACATTAAAGTCTCTCAGTCCTACAAGACTCTACCCTCACACCTGGCTCCTCTTTCTCCAGGGAACAGTGTACTACTCATTGCCAATTCATTCTCTAATCCTTGGAAAGTCACATCAAACTGCCAAATACAAAGCTCTCTCCCACATTTAATTATAGCTACCATTTAAAAACCTAAATATGTCAAGGTCTGTGGTAAACATTTCACATCATTCAATGTATGTGATCTTTATTCCTCACTACAATGTTTCAAGGTAGGTATTACTATCCATCTAACAACTCAGGAAGAATTAGGGTTATTATACTTGTCCAATGTACCAATACAGGACTGTTAATTACATTAAACGAATACTATTTTAAAACAAAAAATAACTTTCTAATTATACAATGTATAGGAAAAAATAATATAGAAAACCCACTGTAAACAATTATGCCCCCAAATATCTTTTATTTGTTATTTTTAACTATTCTTTCTTCATACCCCGTTCTTCTTCAACCAAGTACTTAATTCTCCCTTACTGCTACTCCACAGGTTCTGCTCTAGGCCTCCTCTCTGAATAGATTACTCTACTCAGGTGACTGTCCATCCACAAATCTCAACTTCCATGTGCATATCTCAGATCTCACCAAGTCTTGGTACCAAGACTTCATTATCTGCTACCTTCCAATTCTGCTCCTTCTGTTTTTCCTTTTCAAATTAATTACTTATTCATCAATTTACTTTGCAAAGAAATCTTATTTTTGACTCTTCCTTCTCTAGTTACAATACCATGGTTCCAGTCCTTTAGATTTATCCTCCAAAACAAGATCCTTAACAACCTAATGTCTGTCAACAGGAAAATGGATACATAAACCTACTACATTCTCACAACAGAATACTCACTATACTATAGTGGGTAAGATATAGAGCAACTACTGACATTTTGGGCTGGTTAATCCTTTTTTATGGGGATGTCCTCTGCATGGCAGATGTTTGCCAACACTCCTGATCTCTACATACTAGATGCCAATAACGCTATCCCTAGTTGTGACAACCAAAATTTCTCTAGATATTGTCAAATATGCCCTGACAGAGGCAAACTTGCTCCTGGATTGAGAACCACTTGATCTAGAGCCCTATGCATCACTACAAATCTCAAACAATTTTAAGCAAATAAAGAGAATTAAAATATGATACCATTCATATAAAGATGAAAATACTGTATCGTTTGATATATGAATGATATATATGACATAATAGATTGTTTATGGATACATTCATAGAATAGAAATTTATCAAAACATGCACGAGCAAGATAAAACACTAAAATCAAGATGGTGATTACTTCCAGTGGAAAGTCAGGAGAATACGTTAGGAAAGCTTCAACTGTATCTCTAATATCTTACCTCTTTTGTAAAAGACTGGCCCAGACAGAGCACATTTGGCAAAAATGTCACTATTTCACAAAGCTAGGTGATGTGCATACTTGCCTTTTTCTCCATACTTTCCAGTACACTTAGAATATTTTATAGAAACATAAATGCAAAATAAACTTGCCCTTACTGACCTTGTTCAGGTTTGATTTGACAGCAAACTTCCTTTTAAGTCATTTAGCAGGTGAACATAGATGCTGCCTTAACATTTTTCTTTCCATTGTCAATTCATTTTCTGGGAATGCCCAAGAACTAAGAGACCTTATTAAACTATGTCAATCAGTAGTATAGTACCTAGTTTAAAAGGTACTCTTAAGTAACTTCCACTTTATGCCACACCACTTCTTACTTCTTATAGTCTTTTTCTAACTGAGGCATGTAAGAAACTAAAACAATTAGGGAGTCCCAAATTTGTTTTCTAAATAGCTGGCTATGGTCATAATACAAGATGTATTTTAAATAAACATTCAGGTCAGATATAAATTATAATTACAGTAGGTTCACTTAATAAAAGTAAAAAAATTCATTTTCTAATAAGAATACAATTAAACTTTTTTGTTGTTGCTAGTTTGATGAGGAATTCACTAAGTTCTCAAAGTGTGATGAACAACAGAGATTTTTATTTCTTAATCACTCCCACTGGTCTTTCCTGGAATTACTTATACGTTTATTGAATAAATAATCAAAATTATAATTTAGTGTCATAATAATTTCTAGACTACTGAATCTAGGACATTCTGGACAAATATTTCATATGTCAGTACATTGTAGACCTTTCCATGAATAAAGTTTTGAAGGATAGGCACCTAGGGGTAGGCATTTACATTAATAAATAACATTTAAGGACCCCTAGGTCATCTGTTAAACTTAGGATAAGAGGGGCTGATGTCTAAATTTGACTCTTCAGTTGGCTTTGTTAACATAGTAAAATGTCTGTCATTGAAGTGACTGGCTTTTCTAATGTGCTACTTCAAAATAACTAAAGCTGCACTATTTTATATGATTGCCATTACCCAACATGTGATCGCTGTGCATGGAATGCGTGTAGTCTGTATTAAGATGTGTTACAAGTATAGAATATACAAAGGATTGTGAAGACCTAGTACAACAAACAACATAAATATCTCAGTAATTTAAAGATACTGATTATATGTTAATATAATAATTTGGACATACTTGGTTAAATAAAATATATCATTAATAATGGTAATATCATTGTTATCATTTTTAAAGGTGCACAAAAACTACTTTTGACTTAAGAGGTCAAAAGGCATGTAATTTAATATACAATTGCATCAAGCTTTACTGAATATACAGGCAATAGCTAAAATACTCCTAACTGCATGATCAAAGGGGAAAAAAACCCCTCTTATGATAGCTGGAGAAAGATAACTTAACATGCAAGACTACATTTTAAATAAAAATATCTGAATACTGAAACTTATAAAACTTAAAAGAAAAATGATAAGATTTTTTTAAAAAGTTTCAAAAGCATAAAGGTGAAAAACAAAGATTTGATAAAAGTTACACAAGAATTTTAGTCATCATCTTCATATTAATCAACTCCTTTCCTGTCCTTCCTTAAAACAATAAAAATCTGAACTTAAGGACTCCCTCTTTCAGTATTTTCTGAAATGTTCTCTTTACTAACAGGGTCTTAATTAAGAATTATTTGTTAGGTTTTAACCACACAACTAAACCCTCATACTCACAAAGTCTTCTTCTTCAAACTGTAACTTTTCCACCTTGTCTTCTTTCTTTTCTTCCCTAATCTCTGTAGGTGGCTTTTCCTGAAAGGTACAGCCTTTCCGGGAGTGGAAGCTGCCATTCCAGTGGCGATGGTTCCCTGTGCCACCCCCACTACGCTGGCTCATGCCATCATGACCTCGGGAAGAGCCGTGCCAACCAGACAGGTTCCCTGTGATTCCAGCATATGCTCCCTTAGAGACACTGGAGTCCACAGAGTCATGGCGGAACAGGGAGGGCTGGTGCCAGGAATCTAAAACGATAATGAAAAATAACACATTAGAGACTGTTTGTTTTCTGGAAGTTCAGAAACAACTGGGCCAGATGCTTCCCGATCTAATTTATAGTAATGCCAAAAGCCCTTCAGGGGACCTTTATAATAAAAGATTAAGCCCACAAAAAAAGAAATCACAAGTTACATTTTTCTTTTTACTTTAATGTAATTTCTATATGAGTTCTTCCACTGAATAAATGCCTCAAGAGAACATAAGAATGTTAGACTTGGAAAGCCAGCATAGTTGAGTAATGACTACTGGAGGATCTACGTGAGCATTATGTTTACAAACAATCTTTATTCTAAGATTATGGTCATGTACCTTCAGCCTGGGCTTGCTCTGAGTAGCTTAAATAGAGTCACAGAAGTTGGGCAAAGCTTACCTCCTGTCGTTCGTAGAGGTCCATTGTTAAAAAAGCCATCAGAGGAATTATGTCGACGACGGCTTACTCCAAATCTACCATCTCCTCGGGGTAGGTGTTCGTGTTTTTCAAAGGTGGCTGTAGGTGACTAAGATGATAAAGTATGGAGAAGCAAACAGATAAGTAGATATATATATGTCTCTCTCAGTATCTTGGATTTTGCACCAGGCTTTCAGAAAACAAGTAGTAATGGTGGCAGAAACCCCCATTTTGAACATATGGGCCAGAATTATGGATACCACAGTTCTCTGAGTTAGAAAGGTTACATATTCAATCATTAACTGAGCTAATGGGGAGAAAAGGCAACTACTTCAATTATTTATTTGCATGAGGGGAGAAAAACCCTGTTAATATCCAAAAAGAATAAGCTCTAGAACTTAACTCTTAAAAAGATATTAAGTTAATCTTGCAATAGGAAAAGAAAAGCAAGATGCTTGCTTAAAAAAAATTCATCTTCTTTGGACAAATGTGCATTCATTGCGAAGGCCCTTCTCCCCCCAAACCAAAGTGTTCTGCAGCTAATATAGGAAGTCTTAAGTGTGCCACACAATGAGAAAAGCTTAGCATGTAACGGAAAAAAACCGGACACCTGGAGGTAGTAGGGCACACACTGACATGGACTTCCTAATTATTTATACCCTATTAAAACAAAGACAGTTAACTTTATAAAAACATATTCAAGATCCTCAGGCAAGGCTGAATACACACAAAAAACAACTAAACTGTAAAACAGAGGTCAAAGGCAACATGGGGATGAAAAGAACTGGTATTTGGATAGTCACTAGGAATAGAGAACAGTACCTTAGCTGACTGTGGTGTTGAGAAATTTAGCCAAGCAGGAACAAAGTCATGCTGCGCCATTTAGGTCCAGTGTCTCTTTTCAACAAGGTGAGGCATCCAACCTCATGGCCAGGATCTGAAAATGAGAAAACTTAAATCACTTATTCTTCCAAGGAAACCTGACAGCAATGTGTAAAGGCATCTGTGATTACTTTAAGGGTCCCCTTTTTACAGAAAGACCTGCTCTCTGAGCCTTTCTAGACTATTCATTAGGCCCCATACCTCAAAGTTCTAAATAAAAGCAACAGTCTGTGAATATATGACCATGAAAAACAAATAAACAGAAGGATGGAACACAGATCGGGAAGGTTATATGAAAGCAGCTAATGAATTCTTCTGTTACAGCAGAAGAACCTGAAGAATAAACAACTACTTAAAACTACAAATACTAATGATAAGAGATTAATCTGCTTCAGGTACTCAGGTAACTTTAGGCAAAAGCAATAGAAAACATCTCCCTAGAGAAGGAAGATACAACCTCTCAAGAGTTTTTCTATTCAGTTCATATTAATTTCTTCAAACTAGCATCAGTTTCCCTGAGAGACCCACTGGCATCTCCAAATCACCCTACTGATAGCCTCCAGAATACATCAGAAAGCAGCAGATATTTTTCATAATACATACACACACACAGTGCTCTCCCACAGTAGACACAGAATACTTACCCCAGAGTGTAACCTCTGTGGTCCTGTTTCCTGAACTCCTTGAGTCTGCCAGCTGGATTTCCCACGAGGTTTTCTTGTTAAAAGGGTACTTGATTAGGCTGGCCAGCAGCACGCCTTTTGATGAAGCACAAAGAAGCCAGGCTCTGTGTGGATTACTCTCTCAATCCCTTTAACTGCTCATCTTAAACTATCTAGCTCCTGACACGTTTCCAAAAGGGGGAAGGGGAAAGGGGAAGGGGGAGGGGAATATAAAAAGTATTTGTTACATTTAAAAAATGGGGGAAGGGGAAAGAGCTATATCAATGTTCACCTCATTCAACTTCCTTGAGTGATGGCACTATGACGTTGCTTAAATAGATAATATGTGGACATTTGCACAGTGAGTGCAAACACTGTTCATAACAAGGTCATAGCTCAGAAAGACAGGTGGACATCTGTGTGGGCAAATAATGTCATCAAAGTGATAGATCAAAAATAAAACACTGAAGAGCTATAAAAGATCTTCTGAGCAGTCAACTCCCGTAGCAAAACATCCACGTTACAAAGCCCTTAATTTACAAATCTCATTATTTTTACACAGCTGCTAAAAATATTGTGCACATATGTATTTATATTTGTCTTATCCTTCAAAATCTAATCACATAAGAAACCTTAAAAAAAAAACAGACAGGAATTTGATACGCTTTTCCCTCCAAATAGCAGCTTTCAAGCCAAATTTCTTGGTATAAAGCTCCCAAATGTATTTTCTATTTCTTTGGTCTTCAAAATTTATAAATTCACAGCAGAATTAAAACAAGTAGAAAGACAGGGCTTAAGAAACAGTCAAGGAGAAAGTTCCAAAGTGAGGTTTTCTTCTCTTCAGTTTTTTGTATTTCACTTGTTCTGCTCCTTCCCGAAGATAAGATGAGTTAATGGAAGGTAATAAGACTCTTCTGCTTTCGTAGAGAAGTCACTTATTATTTTGGATCCACTCCCATCATTATCCAATCATTTAAAAGGCCACTGGAATCTATTACTATAAATGAAAAAACAAAACAACTGTATCACAAGAGGCAAAACCATTATTTAATACAGTTGCTAAAATAAGACATGGTCAAATGTTCAACTAAATAAAGGTCTGAGTCAAAACTCTTGCTGCATGGAAGCCCTCAATGTACTTTGGCCTTGCCCCTTTGCCATGTTGTCCTCCTCATTCCACTTCAGGCTCCCACACTCTGCATTGGTCTGCCCTAGTACTGAGACACTGTTACAACCTTGATATGGTTAGCAAAGATTCCGTGCAAGGGAGGAGGTGAAAAATGGAGACTGGTTACATACTGGGATCTGATCAAAAAGTAAAAAATATTAAGGAAAAATGGGAGTCAGATTTCTTACCATGAGAGAAATGAGATAACGATAAAGAAAATTTCAAAATACTTACACAGAATGACAAAAAACACTATGAATAAATTTGCACTACGAATAAATTTGCTAGAGCAGTACTTAATGGACAATAAACTTTATAAACTAAAAAAAAACAAACCAGGACTAAATCCAAACTGACCTAATAAGCATTTTTATCACAGTAGGAAAAGAGTAATTAAGCAAACCTAAAGATACAGAAAGGACAGAAGCAAAAAAAGTTCAGAAAAAATAAAGATAATGAAAAGAAAAAAAAAAATTGAGGGTGTTACAGCTCAGTGGTTAGAGCACATGCTTAGCGCATGAGATCCTGGGTTCAATCCCCAGTATCTCAGTTAAAAAGCAACTTAATAAATAAACCTATTTACCCCCTTGAAAACAAACCACACAAACAAAATAAATACAATATATATTTAAAAAATGTTAAGTAGGATTTTTTAATTGATGTATTATCAGTTTACAATGTTAATTTTTGTTGTACAGCAAAGTGATTCAGTTACATACATATTCCTTTTCATATTCTTTTTCATTATAGGCTATTACAAGATACTGAATACAGTTCCCTGTGCTATACAGTAGGACTCTACTGTTTATCTATATTATACACAGTAGTCAGTATCTGCAAATCCTGAGCTCTCAATTTATTCCTCCACCCCCTTTCCCCCCACTGGTAACCATAAGTTTGTTTTCTATGGCTGTGAGTCTGTTTGTTTTGTAAATAAGTTCATTCGTGTCATTTTTTTACATTCCATTTTATCAAATGGTATTTTCCTTTCTCTCTGTGGTAAAGCTGCTTGGGGAAAAAATACAAATAAAATAGCACGAAAAGAAAAAATAAACACAACATATTAAGAAATGTTATGAGCAAAACATTATGATCAATCATATGCTAATATATGAAAATAGTAAACTAGATACATTTCTATGAATTGGCAAAAGCGGCACAATAGAAAACTTGAATAGACCTGTATATATTATTATATATACCACAGACACTTAAATATGAGTCAGAAAGTCCCCCCTTCCAAAAGGGTACCAGGTGAAAAAGAAAAGCTGAATCAGCTTGTAATTTGGTCTCTCGGGCAGCAAAGAGGTGGCCTCATCAGTGAGCTGGGACAGGATGGGTTGGTTAGCACCCTGGTCCAGGTCTGAAGTTAGAGGCCAGCCTGCACAAATAATAGCTAGTTCAAGGATAATCCCTTGATAATGGTTCTGTGGTCCAGTCTAGAGATTTTTAAAAATTAATACTAATTCCAAGACACACACTGGGAAGACCAGCATTTAATATCAACACATTAAAAGAAGTCAATTCATAAAAATAAGAATAAAATAAGCAGGACTTCATAACTCATGAAATATGGGGGATAAGGAAAAAATATAAGCTCATACTCTGATTTCTAGCTTGTGTAACTAGATAGATGCTCATCACATTACTCACTGATACAGGGAGTAAATCCTGACTGGCATCGTTCCTTTAGCGTAATTGAGGGTTGTTTTTATACAGGTCTACACCTGCAACACCTAGTATATGATGACAGTGCCCCTGTAATAAGTTCTTACGGAAAAAATCAATTAAATCAAGCTTTCTTCTAGAAAAGACATAATTAACTGTTTGTTGCATACTTTTTGTTGTAAGAATTCTGCTTTAAACCACAGAGAATCTGAAATTCAAGGTAGGGAGATGAATCACCCATCAGGTTATAAAACTGTCAGACACGAAGGAAAATACCTCAAATCAAAAACAAACAGTTCCCCCTTACAAACCCCACTAGGCACTTCCAGTTGACCTGCATCATTTTTTCAGTCACCATTTAATCCCACATTTCTCTAGCATAGTCCCAGCTGAGGCAGTGATTGCAGAGGGAATATTATCTGGCAGTGCTTTGCTACTAGTATCAAAGTTCTAAAGCTGTATTATATCCCATAACCACTTATCAACCACGCCCAATATACTAGAATGTCAAGCTATGTAAGAGTGTCTGTGTATATATGTGCAGGGTATGTGGTGGGGAGATGAATGACAAATGGGAAATGAAGAAAGAGGAAAGATATAGGAAAAAGAAATTCCTATTCTAGAAGCAAAAGACTAAAGTGAAACATGGCAAAGTGCCAACAACTGGCCAAAACAAGTCAATAATGGTTTACTAGAATGGTGGAACTATAAGCATTTTGTTTTATCTTCTTAGTCAAATGCTTTTGTAATGAAACTGTTTTGCTCTATGAATTTTTGTAACTTTTAATAAAATTTTATAAAGTTCTTTGATGATGTCTTTGGGGCCATGGTTATTTTTATAAAGTGACTAATTTGAGGGGGGCTTTTGCTTAACTATTGAGAAATTTTGAGCTCAAAACTCTTTTAGAACTTTAAAGAGAAACACTGCAAGACTAGATAGGGGAGGGGAGGGAATCAATATTTTTAAAATGTTAAATACAAGATGTCTAGTATGTGATCTGGAGCTCAGAGAAGTCTGTTCTGGAGATAAAATTTTGGGAACTGTTAGTGTTTGGTAGATGGTGCTTAAAATCAGAAGAAGAGACGAGATCTAACGAGACTATAAAGATTTATACAAGAGTTTCCAAGTCTTGTCTATTCTATTCCGTTTCTATTTGCCACTCCAAGTTCCAATTACTCTCCAATAAAAAATATGGTTTCATAGGCACTACTTACTAGTCTCTTCTACCCTTTGCCTCAGTCTTTACTCTTGGCTGCAGATCTTTTTTCTTAAGTTCAAATTCAAATGGTATCACTACCCTGCTCACGTTTTCTGGCTTTCTACCAAGCACAGAATAGGATTTAAGTTCCTTGGTCTGATAGTCAAAAAATAAGCCTTTCCCCACAAGTAACCTCCCTCCCTGAAATCCTCAAGGTACTTTAATTGTGCCTTCTAGTGCACTTGACACTTGCTACTTCCAGGGTAGTTATAAATGTTGATCCTAACTTCCAGCAGACCAAAAACTTACTGCTTCTAGAATCCTGCTTTGCCCTTCTTTGAAACTCACATAGCATCTAGCATGGTGCCTTGCATGTAGTAAGGATTAAAAGGTTTAATGAACTAATTTTTACAAATTATAATAAAGTAAGGATGCAGAAAACTTGGAACTCTTATACATTGCTGGCAGAAATGTAAAATGGTGCAACTGCTACAGAAAAAAGCTGGTGGTTCCTCAAAAAGTTAAACAGAGTTAGCATATGACCTAACATTACTATGCCAAAGTATGCAGCCAAGAGAAATGAAAACACCATGTCCACACAAAAACTTGTAAGTGAGTGTTCACTGCAGCTTTATTCACAACAGCCACAAGTAGAAGCAACCCAAATGCCCATCAACAGATGAATAGATATGCAAAATGTGGTGAGAATATTATTCAGCTATGAAAAGGAATGAAGTGCCGATACATGCTACAAGGATGAACCTTGAAAATATTATGCCAAATATGCAAAACACATATTACATGATACTATTTAAATGAAATATCCAATCCACTGGGACAAAGAACAGGTTAGTGGTTACCAGTGGTTGGGGGAGGGAATGTGACTGCTTAACACATTTGAGGTTTATGTTTGGGATAATGAAAAAGTTCTGGAACTTGACAGTGATGATGGTTGCAAAACACTGTGAATGAACTTAATGCCACCAAACTGTACATTTTAAAATGATTAAAATGGTAAATCTTTTGTGTATTTTGGCACAGTTTAAAAAAGTATAATAAAGTAGTTGTTAAACTAATAGAAATGGTCAATATTAAATATAAACAATGCTTTATACTGAACATTCTTTTCCAGGTTTTATCTAAGTGTTTTGATCTCTCCATGCAACACGCATAACAGAACTGCCTATTTGAATACTTGATACAGTCATTCATTTAGAAACATTTGTTGAATATTTTAGCTTTTCAAATCCTATGACTTACTGGCTATTTCATGTATGCCTGGCAATCTACAAGATACTTCACAATATGACCTAATTTTATACTTAACAATTAAGCGGCTAGAAGAGGATGTCCCTGCCAAGGGCCTTATCTCAATCTCCTCTACTTTAGGCTCCCATTACCACTTCACTTCACCTGTGTGTTCTTGATCTCAGTAACTCATTTTCTCTACAGTCCAATACAGCCATCAGTCCTGGTAACTTCAACCTCTATCTACACTGGTTTCATTCAGTTAACAAAAAAACTGACACCCACATCTCCCCCAACTTTAAACAAAACCCATTCCTGAAGTCTGAATTTCCCTCTAGGTATTTATGTTCATTTCCCTTCAGTCTTAACAAAACTTCTATAGAGAGCATTGTACTCTTAGTATCTTCATTTTCTCACTCCCCCACTTATTCCTCAGTTCACAGCAAATTTAATTTCCCCCATAACTCTAATGGATATTTATCTGTCCTTTTAATTCTAAAATTTGATGGGTAGCTCCATTTCTTTACTACTAAAATGAAAACTGTGCTACTTCCCATGTTGCTTTGAAGATTAACAAACCAACAAATATAAAAATGAGCATATTACTTTTTAATTGATTCTTAATCAAAGGATGGGTGAAACTAAATACAAAGCCAGTTGAGTTACTTAGTCCTATTCTGGAAGAAGTCTTAATTAAAACACTGACTTATGCAA